GCTGCTGCTGCTGCTGTTGCCTTCGCGCCTTCCACGGCCGAGCAACCGCAGCAGCAGCAGCAGCAGCAAGAATAACGGCTGCTGCTGCTGCTTGTCTTTGTTGTGTCCCTGAAGGATGCTTGTGGGCCTCTTCTGGCAGCAGCGCATAGCAGCAGACGGCAGCGCTGAGTGGATTTTTCAAAAGGCCCCCGTAAGCTGCTGCTGCTGCTGCTGCTGCTGATTCTATTTGCTGCTGCTGCTGCTGCTGCTGGTCTAAAAATGCAAGACAGTAAAATGGAGGGCTGGGGTTTTGCGCGTGGGATCACGCCTCTGTCGCCGCTGCTGCTCCATAAGCTACGACTGCGGCTACCGCTGCTGCGACTGCTGCTGCTGCTGCTGCTGCTGTTGCTGCAGGAAGGCCGCAAAGTGTGCGCAGTGGACTACCGCGTCTTCTGGGGAGGTCTTTTCTTTTTCGTTTTAATTTGGTTTGTTTTTTTTCTGAATTGTCTCGCGAGTTTGGACTTGCTGTGGGTGAGACCTTTTTCTATGCAGCAGCAGCAGCAGCAGCAGCAGCAATTCCTCTGTGCTGGAGCCTTTCTTTCTCTCCTCTGTCTGCCTCTTTCGCTTTACCTCAGCAGGCAGCTGCCTGGTGCTTCTCACTATTTTGCTGCAGCTGCTGCTGCTGGTTCCCACGCTGCGGTTGCTGTCTCTGCTGCTGCTGCTCTTATTGCTGCTTGATTTGCCACTGTCCTGCTGCTGTTGCTGCTGCTGTTGCTGCTGCTACAGTCTGTGATGGCGATTGTGGGTTTGGTTCTTTCAAGCACCAATTTCGTTGCCTACTACAAATGCGCTCGCTGTACGTCTCCGCCTCTGCTGCTGCTGCACTTGCTGCTGCTGCTGCTGCCGCCGCTGCACATGCTGCTATGCTGTTGCGGCTTCACCGACTTCTGCTGCGTCTGCTGCTGTTGCTGCTGCACCGGCTCTCGCTGCACCTGCTACTGCTGCACACGCCACTACTAAACATACGTTGCTGCCTTATATGCTGCTGCTCCTGCTGCTGCCGCTGCACCTGCTGCTGCTGGCCAGAGCTTACAGTATTGCTGCTGGACGCCTTCCCGGTCTGTGTAGCTGCTGCTTCAAAAGCTTCTAAACTCACCGCTGCTGCTGTTGCTGCTGCTGTTGCTGCTGCTGCTGTTGCTGCTGCTGCTGCTGCTGCTGCTGCAGCCCAGTCGCCAGCGGAGTCAGCGCTCTCGAGCCTGCGTGCTGCCACTTGGCGGCACGCGGTGATGTCTCGTCTGGGCTTTAGCTAGCAGCAGCAAGCAGCTGCAGCACATTCTGTTTCTTTTCAGCAGCAGCTGCACCTCTGTTTTGCTGCTGCTGTTGCAAGCAGCAGCAGAAGCAGCCATAGCAGCAGCAGCAGCAGCAACGCAGTGCACGGGCACCAGCCCCGTCAACGCGCCCTCCCCAGAAAAGGCCTGCAGGATTTGCTGCAGTGCATTGGGGACCCTCGCCCTCTAGCTAGCCACTGCTGTGGCTAGCTAACTAGCCACCGCCATGGCTAGCTAGCTAGCTAGCTAGCTAGCTGGCCAGAGAGGGGGCAGCTAGCCAACTGCGAAGCCAGGGCTCAGCTGATCCCCAGTGGGCAGTGCAGCGAGTGGCTTAGCAGCAATTTGTTCCTGCTGCTGTTGCTTCGCTGCCTAGCCAGAAGCAGCAACAGCTAAACACTGCAGCATTTGCTGCGTGCTGCTGCGCTGCCCTTTTTCCAGCTTTCAGCAGGTTGGGGGCGCAGGCCGCAGCTGAAGAGCCAGTTAGCTAGCTAGTCAACTAGCTAGCTAGCTATTTCCCTAGCTAGCCAGCTAGCCAGCTGTCTTGCTAGCTAGCCAACTAGCTGGCTATCTCTGTAGCTAGCCAACTGGCTAGCTACCTCGCTAGCTAGCCAGCTAGCTAGCTAGCTAGCTAGCCAGCTACCTAGCTAGCTCGCTAGCTAGCTAGCAAACTAGAAATGTAACTAATTAAAAGGCTAGCTGGCTATTCAACTAGTGGGCAAAAGAGCCACCTTCCTAGCTAGCTAGGCAGCTGGCGGGCCACCTCGTTGGCTAGCTGGCTAGCTAGCCACGTAGAGGGGCAGCCCTCTAGCTAGCTAGTCAAGTAGCGGGCTAGCTAGCTAGCGGGCTAGCCGAGAGGTGGGCTGGCCACCTGGCTAGCTAACCATGTGACTAGCTAGCTAGCCATAGCTAGCTAGCTAGCTACGTGGGTGGCGGGCTAGCAATCTAGCTAGCGAGAAAGACTACTATCCGGGAGGTCGCCTGCAGCGTAAGTGGCTAGCCAGTGGGGGCTTCTGGCAACTGCTGTTTGCTGCTGGCGCTGCTGCCAGCTTCATTGCAGCTGCTGCAGCAGCAGCTGCTGCAGCTAGCTGCAGCAGTTGCTGCAGGCTGCGTAGCTGGCGGGCAGTGAAGTATGATTGCAGCGGCCGCTGCAGCCTCGCACGGGTCCATGATCCCTCGCTGTTGCATCTGCCTTCTCAATTTAATATTTAAGAAGTATAAATAATTCAAAAAAACATTTTTGCTATTTTATTTATTTTATTAGCTGCTGCTGCTGCTGCAGCGCGTCAGCGGCTGCGGGCCCCGTGCTGTGGGGCCCCCGCCTCAGTGGGTCTTCTTCGGCGCTGCTGCTGCAGCGGATTCTCCCGAGAACTTGCTTCTTTGTGAGATAAATGAATAAAAAGGGAA